AAAAAAAAAAAAAAAAAAAAAAAAAAAAAAAAAAAAAAAAAAAAAAAAAGCTAGAGGTTGACCATTCTTAATCTACTAATTCAAGGGAAAAGAATAAATTCACGTGGGTATTAAAATCGAAACCAGCCAAATGTTGGCAAAAGCAAAGAGCTACAAGCATTAATTAAAAATTAAGGTCAAATATATAACCATAGACATGTTCATTTCATTTCTTAATCTCTTAAAAACTTCAATGTCATTTTCTAGCTGTTATAATTTGAAAAATTTTCAAAACCCACAAACAATATGGATTTTTATAATCACTCTTAATCTTACACATCAACAGTGATTTTATCTCTTTTCCCCCTTTATTTATTACTAAAGGATAGGATATGAAATTAAAAAAAGAAAACAAAAGGCAAAACTTACCAAGATTATACATTTAGCTAAATCTCATTTTTGCCCCCAAGCTTTCAAGATATTCTATTTTGATCCCTAAAAAGTCAAAATGACAAAATGACCTAACGTGTTAACATATGCATACACTAAAATCAAAAGGAAAAACTTACCAAGATTATACCCTTTTAGTTTTTGAATTAATAACCTAACGTGTTAACATATGCATACATTAAAATCACATAGGTTAAATAAAACCGAATAGGCAAAGTTTTTTTTATGGAAAAAAAAAAAAGAATACTACAGCAAAGCCCCAACTGGTTCCATTTTAAAAGCTGAATACCAAAATAAAAATTATGAAAATCCAAGAGCAAAAATAAAATGTTTTTGACAATTTTATAAATGCAACCAATAAGATAAAGGAGACTGGGAGCTGGCCGCACGGAATTGTGCCACGCTACGACACTGACAGAGAAGAAAAGCGCCAAAATCCAATCGAAGTATCTCCGGATGGGCAAAGACAACAATGTTTAACGAAGGGATCTTGACCAATGCCTTACCGCTTCGTCTGTCAATCACTCTCAACTCTCGGCGCAGCCGTTTCCAGGAAACGCACCAGAGAGGCGACATTTTTCACTTTATAAACCTAAAATCTCACTCCATCCACCACCACCACCACCACCGCCGCCGCATAATCTTCTTCACTTTACCTTCCCTTCGCTTTTCTCAGGTGACTTTATAAACCTAAAATCTTTTGATTCTCTTGGTTGACCTTGTTTCTGTTTGGAGGCGTAGATAACTATGGATCCAAACCTCAACGCTTTCACAGATCGCATGGCTGATTATCAGACCTCTCTAACCCAATCATACGATGATGGGTTTAGACTAAATGATTTTGTATTCAACGACCCATCTCCAGATTTTGTTCCTTTCGTTGATAATTCCCTTTTCCCCTACCAACCAGATCCTAACAAGTTTTCAGGAGCGGTGGATTTGAACTTGGGTGTGGTGGCTTCAGGGCAAAGCCCTGATGGCGACTCTTCCTCGGACGAGTTAGACTTCAGGGAAAGTGTTCTTAAGTACATCAGCCAAATACTGATGGAAGAGAATTTGGAGGAGAAGCCTTGCATGTTTTATGATCCTTTGGGTCTTGAAAATACCGAGAAATCTTTCTATGATGCTCTTGGTAAGAACTACCCTCCCCCTTCGCCTAACCAACCTCCCCTAGATTGCGAGAGCTCTGAAGATGTTTGTCGTGGAAGCGACAGTGATCGTACAAGTACTGCTGTTAGTGCTGCCAACAGCAATTCGCCGGACCCCCAATGGGTTGTTGATCCTGGAGAAAGTAAGTCTTCTATACTAACAAGATCTATTCCTAGTAGTTCGTATCAAAGCAGCCTAACTATTAATAGTCATGAGCTTGTCACGGAGCTGTTGGCTCAGAATATCTTTAGTGATAGCACATCCATCTTGCAATATCAAAAAGGGTTGGAGGAGGCAAGTAAGTTTCTCCCAGTGGGTAATCAGCTGAATATCGATCTTAGCAGTGGCAAATTCACAGGAGTAGCTCCTAAGGTAACGGATACAACAGACAATTCGCCTAATGGATCAAAGAGAAGGAAGAATCGTGGACCTGAAGCTGTAGATTTGGATTCAGAAGGGAGAAAAAACAAGCATGCAACCATTTATGGGGATGAGGAAGAATTAACTGACATGTTCGATAAGGTTCTACTCCATGATTGTGGAAGTGAGGCCTCTGCAAATGGTGGATGTGAGAAATTGCAGAATAATCGACAAGTTCATGGTGGATCTAATGCTGGGAAAGCTCGGGAAAAGAAACAGGATAAGAGAAATAACTCTGTGGATTTGAGGAATCTTCTGATATTATGTGCACAAGCTGTGTCTTCTGATGACCGTAGGATTGCGTATGAACTACTTAAGCAGATTAGACAGCATTCTACAACGACTGGGGATGGTTCCCAAAGGATGGCTCATTTCTTTTCTAATGCTCTTGAGGCTCGGATGGTTGGCACTGGCACAGGAAGTAGGATTTACTATGATTCACTAGCTCAAAGCAATATTTCAGCGGCTGATATGTTGAAAGCTTACCAAGCTCATCTTTCATCCTGCCCTTTTAAGAAGCTCTCTCTCTTTTTCATGATCAAAATGATTTTGAAGGTTGCGGAGAATGCTAAAAGTCTGCATGTTATTGATTTTGGCATTTGCTATGGTTTCCTATGGCCAATGTTAATTCAGTTTCTTGCACTACTACCTGATGGTCCACCCAAGCTACGCATTACTGGTATTGATTATCCTCTACCAGGATTTCGTCCAGAAGAAAAGATTCAAGAGTCAGGTCGCCGTTTGGCGAAATACTGTGAGCGCTTTAAAGTTCCTTTTCAATATCAAGCCATAGCATCAAATAACTGGGAAACTATCCGAGTCGAGGACTTAAAGCTTGATAGCAATGACGTGCTAGTTGTGAACTGTTTCTACAGGTTTAACAGCCTACTTGATGAAACTGTCGAAGAAAGTAGTCCAAGGGATATTGTTCTACGTTTAATAAGGAAGATGAATCCAAACATCTTTGTCCATTCTGTGGTTAATGGATCCTACAATGCACCTTTCTTCATAACACGATTCAGGGAAGCACTCTTCCACTTCTCTGCATTGTATGATGCTTTAGACGTTAATTTACCTCGAGACAGTGAAGAGAGGATGATGCTAGAGAGAGAATTTCTCGGTCGCCAAATTATGAACGTAGTAGCATGTGAGGGAGTTCAGAGGGTTGAGAGGCCTGAACCCTATAAGCAGTGGCAGGTTCGGTGTATGAGGGCAGGTTTCAAGCAGCTTCCTTTGGACAAGGAGATCATGTGCAAGTTCAGGACCAAGTTAACATCCCATTACCACAAAGATTTTGTACTAGATGAAGATGAGGGCTGGATGCTTCAAGGATGGAAAGGACGGATAGTCTATGCTTCTTGTTGTTGGGTGCCTGCATAGACATATAGCTTGCTATAATTTGGGACAAGAAAATGGGACCCGAAACAGTACCGAGAGGTGCATTCAATTCTATCATAGATGATAATGACAGAGGCAAACCTATTGTGTGTATTTCTCTTTACTCATGGAAGTTTGAGGTAGTGCATCCATGAAGCCAGATTGTTTCACTTATTATATCTGTGCAAAGCATTACCTTGTAACCTTAGTAGGTACTAGTACTAGTATGATGACCATGAACTGTGGGAATTAAACATGTGATCAGGAGAACGGTTTCTCTTTGTACATAAAGACGGTAGCTGATCATTGGTTTGAGTCTATTCCTTAAAACTCTTGATATGGCTGTTAAATTCGAATTCTATTGCCCATAAAAGAATCAGAGATGGATAACAGACCATCTCGAATTTGAAAATTTTCATTTATGTTTTATGGATATGGACCATCTCAGGATTAACTTCTCTTTTTTCTTTATTTATGCCCTTTTAAAGTTTCAAATTTAAGATTTGAACACACTGAACACATTAAGATTATCCAGTTTTGTTTGTTTTACTTGGATCAAAGCATTGATTATATCCTAGATGGTTGGGTGGATCTAATGACAGTGAGTCCAAATCAACAGATTGTAGACCAACGGTACGTAAACCAAACATAGATGAAACAGAGAACTAAAACGCCCTCAAATCCTTCAGCACAGGAACCTAAAAAAGAAGTGAAATGAATTCTGCTCCCTCTGTAAAATTACCATTACCATGAAAGCTCCACTCTTATTGCATGCTACAAAATAAGTTTGTAGAATCTATTTTCCATTTGCAATACAAAAGAATCTTCCAGATATCTAGTTTCTTACAAAAACAGACAATATTCCAAGCATTGAGCTTCGTTCTTGATCAGAGTACAGGAATGTATGAATTAAGGAACTGGAATGAGGTGGTACATGTGTAACATCTAATTTGTTTTAGATAAGAGACGTTAAATGACGCATCCAATAAATTGATCACGGAACTCTGAACAGTCCTATATAACTACAAAATATGGCAAGAAATCAATACAAAGAGCATAGGAACTGGATTCTCCACCCATCTAAGGACTCTCCTACACAAGGTTATCCACTCTTATTGGGAGTCTTGGAGGGCCTAAGAACATTCCAGTCCAGCTTTTCACCCTTTGGTTTTTTGGAAGGTCCTTTACCATGACTAAATGATGATTGCTGGTTGTCCCGACCACTTCTTGGAAACTTAGTTGGATGCCGTCCATCAGAAACTACTTCAGATTGTTTCCTTTTAAGATCCTCATTAGCCTCACAATTTTTTTCATCAATGTTTGAGCAGGAGGCTTCATTTTGTGAAGATCCATTATCTCTGGGGAACAAAATTTTTTGTCTGAAGATGAAAGGGTAAAAGGGGAAAAAAAAAGAATGATAACTACTTTCAAGTGACTTTCTGTGGGAATGAATGTTCTATTTCAAACCCCCACCCCCACAAGGGGGGGGGGGGGAAGAGAAATATACAACATAAAGCTCCATTACATTTTTTTTCTCAATAAAAGTTTGATTTTTCTTTATAAAAAAAAGCTCCATTACACGATTTAAGGCAACAATTTTGTTAATGTTATTCATATTTTACTTGTTATACAAAAAGGGATTCTCACAAACTTTACTCCTAATACATACCTAAATGCAGATGCTGATTACAACTAAATTTGTAGAAACCACTATGTTGTTGCAAGACAGTGAGACACAGAATGCTAGCTTCATTTAGGAAAAATTGATGCTTAGCAAGAACAGCAGTTTAATAAAACATCCTAGAAGTAGTTTGATAAAACATCCTAGAAAAGTAGTTTAATAAAACATCATAAAGGCAGCTATAATTTTCCAAAAGAAAGAGCGAAACAGGTGAAATTATAACCACTAACCTTGATGAAAGGTTTCCACTGTGATTTCCAGATGAAGAGCCAGGAATTTCATGCTGGCCTAAGCTAGCTATTTCTTCATTGAGTCTCTATAATGGCAAAGCTTTGATGTGAGACGAAAGGCATGCAAAACACAAAGGGCTATAGTCCACAGATAAACTTTAGGACACTGAAAATATATACTCACATCAATTGAAGGATTAAAGCTTTGAAATGACATTCGACCTTTAAAAGCGCCTGGATGAGGATCTCCTTCAACTAAAACTACACTACAACATGGAAGAAAAAAAAAAAAAATCAGTTTCTTGAAAAAAGATATCAAAGAGCTAAGTTGACATAAAGCGACTATCACGGCCAAAAGCAGAGATTGGCTTGATGCGTAAAGATGTCACACTAGAAGCAGATACAAAAGGTTCTCATTCTATCCTAGACTTTCTGTAGCAAGACAGGCACGAATAAAATTTATACTGTATGGAATTACTTCCATCGCAGGCATGTATATTTCTATCTATCACATTCAGAGTGAAAAACTCTAGCAATAATGATAAAGATAAACAAGGAACGCCAAAAGCACATAATCCATCAATATTTCAAATGTATTGTCCGTTTTCAGCAAATAAACTGCTCCCGCAGAACAATGCGGTAGAATTGTGTACAGTTTGTTGCATCATGAAAAAACGAAAAAAGAAAAGAAAAGAAAAGAAAAGATCATAAACAACTAGAAAAGGTAGTGAAACAACCATAAATCAAAAGTAACAAACAAACCATTGAAAAGACCAACAGCCTACCACTTTCTAATTATAGTACTCGAAGGAAAGAAATTCTCATCAGGCTTTACTTCTTCCTCTCTCTTAGGTTGATCCTCTCTCTGACCCGCCCTTTGCATGAACTAATGGCAAAACAAAAAAATCAATAACTCGCATAACAATTTAAATCGGTTCCTCATAAGCACAAAGCAAGAACAGAATCAAAATAAAGAAATCTCAAACATAATTTGGCAGTTCCCTAGACCAATTAACCAACAACCAGAAAGTTGAAACACTAATGAAGCATGATAAGGCAGTAAATCTGAAAGAAAAAAAAAAATCTGAAGCTTAGTTTACCTTCAAGTTCCTTAATGTATTGGAAAGCTCGCGCTTCGCCATAACGATTAGAGAAAAGGAAAGCTCGAACAACGAACTTCCAATGTCTAATCAATTTTCTACGTCTCCTCCACTTTCGCGTTCGCGAGCGCGCGCAACCTTGAAACTCCTCCTGTAATCTGCGCCTGAGGGCGGGGGAAGAAGGGTTTTTCTGAGAATCAATGTTCAATTTGTTAATTACCTAATATACCCTCGAAACAACACTAAATTACAGATATGCCATAGCTTGTTTTCTAGTCGCCACCTGTGGGCTGCGTTACGATTATTGGTATTAGACGGTTTAAATTTGTATTTCAGCGGTTAAATTATAAGAACATTATCAAATATATTCTTTAAAAGATTTTAAATTAGTCCTAATAATAAATAAATATTTAATAAATCTTTTAATTTGTAAGATAATAAAATTTTCAACACTTTTTGAAATTATTAAACACAAATTTAAATTTTCAATATTTATTATATACTAAAATTAATTAATTTAATTTTTTTTTTACAGTTTTCGAAAATTAGTACAACTCTAGAATCTTCAAGTCCTAATGATATGAACTTGACCCAGACAAAATAGGTGAGCGTCGAGATGATTGGTCAGGGCCCCTTGTTTACAGTCGAGTAAATTTGCTAGCAACTTTACAATGAAAGTGCTTAGTTCGAAAGGATCAGGCTCGAGATTCATTAATCATACACAAAATATTGTATATTATATAAATTTATTAAATAAAAAATTAAATGATTTAAACCCACTTCAGACTAATTATTTTTCAAATAATTAGATTGTTAAATGATTTACCCTAATAAGCACCAACCAATCCAACTGAATATCAACTTTTAAAATATTTTGTGAGTAAAAATCACAAAATGCTATATCTATCCATTTGTAAAAATGAAGAACAAAAGGGAAAAAAATTAACTTAATGTACAAACTACTGAAGGCCAAAGTTATGAGGGTACAACTTGTGGTTCTAAAGGTGTAGAACCATCATCATCCTCAGTTGCTTGAACTGAGGGGATTTCCACACTTTTCTCGTCTGCCTCTACGAAACCTTGCTTGAATCTATCGTAGTTCGTTACCTCGGTCGGTTTAAATGGCCGCTTACCCAAGACCCGAATCAAGTCCTCTTGGTGAAGAACTTCCTTTTCAAGCAACAATTCTGCAATTTGAGCCACTCGCTCTTTGTGTTCCTCTATCAGCTCAACTGTGCACTTGTATGCCTTCCCGACCCATTCTCGCACTTCGCTGTCGATTAGTGCAGCAGTCTTGCTACTGTAGGGTTTCGACATTTCGTAAGCATCGTCTCTTGGAGGGAAAGAAAGTAGCCCCACTTTATCACTAAAACCGTACACTGCTACTTGAGCATAGGTCATCTTTGTGACTTTCTCCAAGTCATTTTGAGCCCCAGTTGAGATTTTACCTATTAAAACCTGCATCAAACAACATATCCTTCTTCAACAACACAGCCCAGCAGCCACAATTGAAACATACACAAAGTTCGCCATTTATATCTTGAACCCAGTTTCAAAACTTCTAGAGGGGGTCGAGTCCACGTTCGAGGGGGGAAAACAAAATTTCAAAAGAATGGCTAGCTGTAAGAAGCTCTGATCTATCCCTTGCGTACATCTTTTTTATATCCAAATGACAATTAAGCAGTAAAACCAATCCTAAAACCAACCAAATTGTTAGTTTTCAACACCATTCGACACCCCTTTCCAGCTCTCTCAGTCACTCAAACGAAACCGAACACTTTCAAACAAGTTAATACATTAGAATTATGTCAGGGACTTGAGTAAAGTTGTCAGAAAACTTAAACCATAAGACTATATGTAATTACCTGTTCGGCAGCACGGCCACCAAGGGTCATGCATGTCATATCGAAAAGTTGTTCCTTGGTCATGAGAAGATTTTCATTTGGAACATACTGTGCAAACCCCAAAGCTGCTGTACCGCGAGGAACAATTGTTACTTTCAACAAAGGTTCAGCATGCTCCAAGAACCAGCCAGCAACAGCATGACCAGATTCATGATAGGCAACAGTTCTGCGCTCCAACTTGCTAATCACCTGCTCAGTAAACAGGAACGTTAGCGGACAAAATTCACATGGGTCGACTCCATTATCTGGGAACATACTAGAGCTTAATATCATCGACTCATCATTTGACAGTGAATAAAATGTAGCTTTCAGGATTTCCTATTTTAACAAGTTAACATTAACAATAATACTCCTATGGGTTTTCCTCCACAGCAACTTAAGAGCAGATGGACGACCCGGATAGCTGCTAGTTAAG